TCTCCATTACTTGCTTTCACCCTCTCTGTCTCCTTCCTAGTTTTTAATACTTACACCCTCCAAAACCCCATACACATTACAAACTAGAATCTACATATAAGAGAGGACAGGAATTTTTTTTGTCTTTCTGAGTTTGGTTACCTTGCTTAGCATTTTACCCTCCAAATTCGTCTATTTTCCTGAAAATTTCATGTTTCTTTAGAGCTGCCTAAAATTCCGTTGTGCGTATCTACTGCCTCTTCATTCCCTGTTCATCATTGGTGGACATTGGGGCTGGCTCCATTTTCCTGCTCTCATGCAGAAGCAGCAGCAAACATGCATGTCCTTTTTCTATGCCCAAAAGTAGTATATCTGGGTCATGGGATAACTTTGTTATTAGTTTTTTGAGAAAACCTCTACACTGGTTTCCATAATGGTTGTCCTGGATTGCAGTCTTCTGCCATTGGCTGTCAGATTTCTGGATGACAGCCATTCTGACTGGGATGAGTTGGTATCTCAGAGTAGTTTCATTTTCATTTCCCTGATGACTAGAGATGTTGAACACTTTAAAATGTTTATTGGCCATTTGTGTTTCTTCTTTTCAGAATTGCCTGTTCATTTTTTATCTTACTTCTTGACTGAAAGTTGGGGCTTTTGATTTCCTTTTATTTTAAACTTTTATTTTATGTGTATAGGTGTTTTACAACCATTGTCTGTACCACATGTGTGACTGGTTCCTGTAAAAGCCAAAACAGAAGATTAGATCTCCTGGAACTGGAATTACAGATGGTTGTAAGCCACCATGTGGGTGCTGGGGATTGAACCTAGGTCCTCTGGAGGAGCAACCAGTGTTCTTAAACACTGAGCCATCGCTCTATCCCTAAAGTGATTTTTAATGAACTATTATTTAAACTATCCAGGTCCAAGTAATTAGCAAAAAAAAGTTATCTAAGTCAATCTGTTTTTCCAATTTGAATAGTTTTATAATTCATTCTTTTGATATTTCTATTTTCACTCAACAGAAAATAACTAAACATAACCATCTGAAAATTTTTAAATGTACCTATATAACAATTGTGCCCATAGAATTAAGAAAATGAGGGTGAAAGTATAATCAGATGAAAATACATACCTTTAAATGCTGTTATTGGAAGGACAGAGAGTGAAGAAAAAAATACATAAGTGAAGAACTGAATGAACAAATCAGCCTTCATCCTTGGTAAAGGGAACATAGTAAAAACAAATACCCTGAAAACTACATCAGAATGCAGGGGAGGGGATACTTTAAAATAAATTGAAACTGATCTAAGAAAATTGTATTATAGTTAGTGAAATAAACACTTTTATTTTTATTTTGGGGGTCTTTTTTTAGGATTTTTTTGTTTGTCCGCTTTTGTTAGGGAGAAGGCTTGTTTTTTGTTTAAAGCTTCAGAGAGGCTTTAGGTGGTGGCTGGAAATGGGTCGTGACTCAAGCACATAAGGTGGTGGAGACTAGAGCTCTTCAAAGCATGCCAGGAACCGGGGATTAGGAAAAGCAGCCAGAGTCACCTATCTCCACAGTCACTGAAACTGAGCCAAAGGAGTCCCAAAACAGTCCAATCAAAACTGACTTATGATGCAAGTGTTTCAGACAGATTCTTGCTTCTTCAGAAAATGATGCTGGCAAAGGTAGTGCCAAAAGTCTAAGTTCTCAGCACTGTGTTCAGTCTCTCCTATGTGTGCTGTCTAATAGCAGACGATATCCACAGAGACTTCAGTAGCAAGGATTTGGTGATTCATTGTCTTGTTAACTCTAGATCCCTCTAGCTGATTCTGTCAACACTGCATTACACTCTGTTTCTAGCCCCTGACACCCTTCAAATCTGACAACTGTGTTGCTTCCCATGACTTCACAGCACACACCACAGCCCCGAGTACTGTTGCGGGGTACTTACTAGTTCAAGTGAAGAACGTTGCTAGTTTGTTCAGCACTTGATTGAATAACTTTGATGTAAAAGGTGTCATGCCTGAAAATCAAGCCGTGGAAAGCATGCTTCTCCTAGAAGACATGATTCGCCATTGCTTATATCTTAAAGACACTTTCAAGGGTTTGTTTAAAAAAAAATTGCTTCTAGAAGTTCTGAGTACTAGATGAAGAGAAATATTTTTTAAGACAAAAACATTTTTAAAAGAAGCTCATCTCTTTTTAAAAGCTGTTCAGATGAAGAGAAAACTCTCTCAGCACATTCTTGATCTATATGTTTTTGTGGTTATTAGTAGTGATGAAGATACATTAACCATACTCTCTTGATAATGCTATAGCTGTTTCTTGGTACTTGTACCAACATATAAATTTCACAATGGGCAATATGGGAATTTGACTAGTACATTTTTGTTTATCTAAAGGGGTAACAATATTATAAACTTCTTCATATCTTTGAATTATGGATCTTGATGTACCCACAAGACTGAAATGCAGCTGAACATGGCTGCCACCCTCGTAATGATACTCTCTAGGAAAAGGCACATGTGCAGGCCTCCAAGCAGCAGCAGCAGAGGTGACCGCCTTGTTTGTCCAGCACTGATGAGCCTTCCCTCTGTATTTTATTCATTGTTTTCACTCAGTAAACATGGACTGAGAAGCCTCTCTCTTGCCCTCTATGGTGTGTGCAGACTGAATGTGCCCTCCTTCTCTGGGAAGCTGGTAAAAGCTGAGAGTAAGAGGTGCCTACACACTGTGTAGCCTTACTCTCACAAGGAAACATTTTAAACAAAATTTTAGAAAAATGTTAAGTAGCTTAGTTCTGCAAATATGAAACTTGATATAAAAGGGATCATTTGAACTAATTTCATTATATTATTTTTATACTTCATTGAGAAATAAATAAATCTTTGTTTAAATTGCCTTTAAATTTGAGTAATTCTTCTACAGTATAGTGTGAGCCCTCCAGTAGCTAGCCCATAACATTAGCTAATGCCATGTGAGGAGACTTTATGGAAGGAAGAAACATAAGGGCATTCCTCTTTATTACAGAACGATAGACTGGTTCTGTTGAGAGTGACAGCTAGTATGCCAAGCACAGAGCTGCCACATGAAAAGGGGAGATGACTTGAAAGTGCTGCCAGGTAGATATGGGAGAGGAAATGACAGTAAAACCAAGGTAACTCATAGATTGTAATCTAATAGACTGTTTCCACTTTTACAAGAAGAGGCTAAAGTGTCTACTAATGATTCAAGAAGTTCAAATAGAAATGTTGGTATTTACAACCTCCTACAACTAAAGTGACTTATGATCATAACTAGTCTTTGGCATACACTGCAAAACTGAATCATTTGGGAAATAATAATGTTCATTTGGTGCTCTCTTTGCCAGACATATTAATAACATAGATCCTGTCAAACCATGGAAGACAAGAAAGACAGTGTGAGATAGGAGATGGGTGGAGGTGGGTGGTTAGGAGTTGCTACCTACTAGATAGTAGACTACGACGGACTTGGACTTCTGGATCTTTAGAGAAGATGTCCAACTTTTTGTGAGTCTCCTTTATAATGCAAAATAGGTTTTTAAATCATATGCATATCTATGTGTTTTGTATTAATATGGTTTGGATATAATATATTCCTCCCAAAAGCTTCATATATCTAACTTGGTCCTTAACTGGTATTTCCAACCATTGAGAGTAATTGGATGATGTAGGCTCTGGCTTATTCAGTGTATTAGTCATTCATAGATTCCTAATATGACGACATTACTGGAAGATGGTAGAAAGTAGGAGGTCGTACATAGTTGGAGAAAACAGGTTATCAAGAGTCTCTGGCCTGAGCCCTTGAGTCTCACTTTCTCTTCTTGCCACAAAGTCAGCAGCTCTCTTCTGCAGTGTGAACACACCACAGTGACACTCAGAGTGATGGATCCAGCTGCCCACTCACTGCAACCAGGAGCCAGAGTAAACCTGCCCTCCAGTCAGTGGTCGTAGGGACAGAAGTACAGCAATACACTGACACTCTAAGCAGAATAAATTTAAGAGATCTTAACTGATCTAAAACTGATCTTTGTCTTCAGCTAAGGAAATAATTTTAGAACAAACCAGTATAAAACAGAGTTGAGTTTTATTTAAAAGGGGATTTTCATAAAGATTTTTAAGTCCCAAGATAAGAGATAAAGACACTTGGAAAGAAAGAGTATGGGTAGAGCTTCTCAAAAAAAGAGTCCTGGTTTGTTAAAAGACATTTGTGATACAGGTTTAAGCACAATGGTTAAGAGAAAGACAGCCATTTGGGAAAGGGCATGACCTTACAAAGGGGGAGTTGGAATTAAATGTCCAGCATTAGCCTTGTGCACTATGTTGGTGGCTCTCACATTACATCTCAAAAGGTCGCTAAGAAGCCCCCTACCTGTCCTGCCTGTGTCTGACATGTAGGTTATAAACGGCTCCAGAGATGCCTTGGATGGAAAGTCATCTGATGAAGTCGAGTCGGGAGGCAGCAGGGCCGGATGTACACGGGTTTCTACTGAAACTCCTAGAAAGTTACAGTGTATAGTTAGGAGAAGAGAAGGCCGCTGAGCAAATGGTGTGAGTTCTGTTAGAATCCTCGATCTCAGCTGGCTAGAGTCATCTATCAGGCTCTAGGACAAAGGGCCTCTTTTACTTCCAATGTCTTAGCTTCCCCTCAATTCCTTAACTTATTCAAGTCAGGCATTCTGTCATAGCTAAGAAAGTCAGACTAATACACACTTCTTAACTGGAGTAGCCAGGAGTGGGAAAGTATCTTCTTGGGCAGCTGTACCCTCAGAAAGGAGCCCAGCTTTGACACAGAATGAGCCTTGTGGAAGGAAGGAATGATGGTGCTCATTTTCCAGAAGACACATTACTATTCTGTGGTCACGTTAAGTTTGTACTTATTTACATAGCTGACTTAGTAAACATCCCTTTCCAAGGCTAGACGTGTTTTATTCAAATGGAATGAGTATATGAAATGCATTATCCTCCAAGGTAAATAATGTTTTCCCCCTTCACCTGATTTTTCTTTTTTCTCCAAGGACCAATGCCAGAGGTGCTCCCCTGAATATACACAAGGTCTCCAACAGCTTGATTAACTTTGGAAGAAAGTTGATTTCCCCAGCCTCAGCTCCAGGCAGCATGGGCAGCCCTGTACCTGGAAGCAACAGCAGCAGTTCCTTCTCTGCTGCCATCCCCACCAGGACCTCCTCAGAAGCCCCAAGGTATCATTTGCTGCACCAGCAGCAGCAGCAGCAGCAGCAGCAGCAGCAGCAGCAGCAGCAGAGACTGATGAAATCTGAAAGCATGCCGGTACAATTGAACAAAGGTAGGAGAAAGCCCAGTAAATCCAAAGAACCTGAAGTATGGCGTGAGATTTTCTCACTTGCCTGTGAGAAACCAATTTCTCAGAAGCAGAAATCCATAAAATCTTAATTTTTTTAAAAAACTCCATCATATATGATCCTTTTAGAGAGTAGATATTGTGTTTCTCTTGATTAAGTATATTTTATGAGGTATTTGGCCACGTATTTTTTAGCATCTGTATCTCAGTGTGGTTTACATTCTGTTATGTACATACCCATCTTGTACAATGGTGTGAACAGTCCCTGCATAGAACTCATCAGCTGACTGTGTTCTCTGACAGCTTCATAATAAATGCTCCTGAGTCCTGATCTCTTTCAGAAGAGTCTGAGATGGGAAGGCCCAGTAACATGGGCTGTCAGTCACAGGAGTCAGCAGTGTGTCATGGTTTAGAGGAAAGTTTGTGGTCTCTCATCTCACCCACCTGTGTCATGGCTAGGGAATACAAATTGAATCTTTGGGGAGAAAAAAGAAGCTAAATAAAAGCTTTAGCATCCAAAATGAGCATTCAAGTTCATACACTAAAGGGTTCTGCCAAAAAATGGATATAAGACCAGAGAAAGCCTGTGAGATGATGGAAGCGGCTGTCCTGAGCGGTCTCGCTGTCCTCACTCGATCAGGGCCTGCCCAGGGTGTCACCCTCCCTTAAGCACTCTGCCCACAGAGAGCCTTTGTGTTCTTAATTAGAGCCTCCACACTTCCTCTCTATAGAAAATGAGAAACAAACACTGGAAGTAAGAAATAGCAGTGTGATGGCAAAAGCTGCACAGAAAACATAGGAATTGTATACATTCAGTCACAACAAACATCCTACCCAAAACTTGGTTCATGCCTTACAGGATACCTACACTAACAGCAGCATTCGGTACTCAGTGGCTTCATGCCTTACAGGATAC